ATGATATAAAACATGAAAATGGGAAGATGTTTAGAAGAAAAAGGGGATTTACGCATTTGTGTTTAGATCTGTTATAAAAACAATCTTTCGAGTACATTTGAAAATCATTTGAAAGAAAGTCTGAACCTAGGAACAAATGAAGGACACTTGCACAAGAAAGTGTAACGCCTAACACAAACTTGACGAAAAATTATTAACTCACCCGCTTTCTTCTGGTTTTGACCGTCTCACAATCTCAATAGCCCGCAAGAAATGCAATATACAAAATAAATATACGGACAGCTTAACAACGCTGATGTACAGAAATAATTTTACTGTGCTGTCACGGACTCTCCTGGGAAATTTAATCTATTGGGCGAGTGAGAAGAGGTGACATTTTCAATTCCAGGTACATATCGCTATAGTTTCACTGCTAAGTAAACCTGTTGCCATGGTAACCAAACATCAAAGTTTCTTTATTAATCTGCACAGATACGCGACATCTCCAGGTAGAGTTTTTCTTTGATCAGTAGAGATAATAAATTGGAGACTGGCTGCCAATAGTCTGTTCATTGCACATACATCAGAAAAGGTTAATAACGATGATGATGGTGAATGATCTCCCTTGGGAAGCAACCGAGTACTGATTTCTGTCTGCCGGGAGCCGAGACACATGTATGGAAACCCACAAGGGAAATCAACTCAATACCTTCCCTGAAACAATTACGGAGATGCTTCAATAAAACTACTGAAAGAAAAGAGCAAGCACACAAGGAAGCTCGGTTGGAAAATATTGTCTCATGGGATGAGAGCATTTTGCATACAGCAGTGTTTTGGAGACATGCATAAATTATTCAAACTTTGTTATAAACTTGCTGTATTCCTTCTGGTAGCAGAAGAGACTTGGTGAAACACTGACTGTGGGGGAATATTGTAATGTAGATTTTTATGACATTGTCGTCTTGTGAGTCGGACAGCCTGTCTGTGATTTTCTCCAGAGGATGTGGTGTAGAGCTGCAGAATTCAGAGTGACAGTCTCTTGAGGATGTGTCATGAAATATTGATGCATATTACTGTCTGAATAGAAGAAGAACAAACTCCTTTGGCAATGAAGAAATTCATCAGTGTCTTTAAATCAGATATATTCCAGGCTGTAAGTTTTTTGCACGTCATATTTGCCAATGTCTGAGAAGAATATGGGTGAAGTTTGGATACCTCAGAGCATCAAGATTGACTCATTAAATAACTAGCAAGAGCCTCATCAATTTGTAATCAGAGCACCTTCCCTGAAGATTGCTTTACCTCGAAATCTGAGAGCACAGTTGTCTGTAACTCATATCAACTCTGTATAGAATATACGTTTTCTCTTCACATTGCAAATTAGTTTAAAACGGCCGTTGTTGTCATTCAAACGATGGTGATCCTGGCCACCGAATAGTAAAGAAAAGGAAGAGGGTTTCCATTTCTCTGTAGATTTCAACACAAAGACATGTTCATATTCTTGTTGAATTTGTCTGTGAACCAGTCAGGCTCAACAATGGTATGTTTATGCCAGTCATACTAGTCTTCATTATGTATTGACGGCTACACATGGATGCAAGTCACAAGTTGCCTACTGGGATCAGGCAACACTGCAGAGTACATGGTCTATGTAATTCTACCACAGGTGCTTCAATACCAAAGCAGCAGGATTTCTACAACACCTTGATTAATACAGGGTTTTTCAGCAGATTCTGAATTTCAGTTTGATTTTACTAGTTCTTAGGTGACCAACGTATATTTTGTAATCATATGTGATGTAATACTGTATTTATCTGAAGAAAAAAAATGAGACATTTCACTTAAATCAAACTGAAAATAGGCCATCACAAACATCTTTCTCATCATGCATGAGTGAGTGAGTGAGTTTAGTTTTACGATGCACTGAGCAGTATTACAGCTATATGGCGGCGGTCTGTAAATAATTGAGTCTGGTCCAGACAATCCAGTGATCAACAGCATGAGCATCGATCTACAAACATTGGGATAGGATGACATATACATGTGTCAACCAAGTCAGCGATCCTGACAACCTGATCCCATTAGTCGCCTCTTACGACAAGCATGGGTTACTGAAAATCAATTTGGATCATCACGGGTTCATCATGCATGAAAAAATTGTTGACTTATTTACAGCTGTTACCAGTTATGTCAGCCTTTTTTCCATCTTTTATATAGTTTTATTTGATATGGATAATGTGAATGTCAAAACCACTGCCTTTATCATAAGTTTATCAAAATGTGGAAATCCCAACCTAGTTATTGGCTAAAAATAGACTTTTGAGAATTAGCATCAGAAGAATCTGTCTCTGATTGTCACAAATTTGGTGCAACACATCCACAGCCAAAAACCAGTCTCAATAAGAAAGACTTCTTTAAAAAAATGTGTGTAAGTAAATTAATTCTCAAATATAATTACTAAAAAATACATAATGGTGATAGGAAATAAATACAAATCTGACTTAGCTGTGAGTGAGTAGGTACAATGCTGGACAAGTAATAACATCAATGAGGACATGAAGAAATCCACGAGATGTGACCACGGAACACTTAAACCAATAGATTGCCTCATCGCCTTAAAGCCATGAAACCACAAACTAATCATTCCTGTAAATAAGTAATAACACACTAATAACAAACTCACAGCTTATGAGGACTTGGGGCAGTTCAAAAGCTTTCTATGTTGTCAAAATGATCTATATATGGTGTAATATTTCAACACCAACACCATATATCTACACCTTCACGTAAAAGACATTAGATAATTACTCAAGTTGATTCAAGCAAGTGAAACTTTGTAATTTGATCTTGCACAGAATACACATTTATCAGATGGCATAGAAGGAGGTTGATCTCCACATGGTGCTCAACCAATCATCAACAAGAAGGATATAACTTCTGTATCTCCCATTCAGCATCTTGAAATATTACCCACATGTTCCACAGAAGTAAGTCTTAGGTTCTCCAGTGTGTGAAGAGGTGTTTATGAAACCAGTAGAAGTGAGGGTGAGATCTGATGACACAACAGATCCTGGTACAGCATTACATTATAATGAGTCCCATACATCAGTGTAAGGACAATGACTTTGTCAAACCAAGGCTCAAACACAGATCATGTTTCTGTGGCTGGAGACTGACATGATGGAATTCTGCTTCTTGGAACTCTGCTTCTTGAAAGTTGCTGCTATTACCGGTAAGTGATATCTGAGTCAGGCTTGTTTGATATGCATACCCTGACAACATGGTACATTGCTCATGATGGTGACCACTGGTCCCTCTGGCCAGCAAGGAATAGCTGGAAACTACTGACCAGCAAACAAAAGCAAACAGGCAAGCTCATAACCGCAGTTAACGTCACCTCACTACCCTGTTGTCAACAAGTGTGTGTTTTTCATGGTACTCTTGTCATAGAAATATAGTGAGTGAGTGAGTGAGTGAGTGAGTTGAGTTTTACGCCGCACTCAGCAATTTTCCAGCTATATGGCGGCGGACTGTAAATAATCGAGTCTGGACCAGACAATCCAGTAATCAACAGTATGAGCATCGATCTGCGCAACTGGGAACCGATGACATGTGTCAACCAAGTCAGCGAGCCTGACCACCCGATCCCGTTAGACGCCTTTTACGACAAGCATGGGTTACTGAAGGCCAATATTCTAACACGGATCTTCACAGGTCCATAGAAATATAAGCCGTGCTCGAAAGTAACTGGGGTCCTTGAGTTATGGCAAACAATCAAATCTGGACCAGACAAACCTGTGATTGACATTATGAGTGACGCAACACATCAGACTGATGACAATCATCATCACATCACCATCACCACCACCACCATCATCATCATCATCATCATCATCATCAGCAGCACAACCACCACCACCACCACCATCATCATCATCATCATCATCATCTACACTTCCGCCCACCAACATCACTCACCACAATCATCTGCAACCTCATCATCATCATCATCATCATCATCATCATCATCATCATCATCATCTCATCACACTTCATTCCCACCAACATCACTCCACCACAACCCATCTGCAAACCACTCCCACAACCCATCTGCAACCTCCACAACCTCCACTAACACCCACCTCCACCAACATGTACCACCTGAACCCACCATCATGTTCTTCATCACCATCACCACCACTACGGAATACACTATGGAGGAGATCCGTTCACCAAAGTATTATTCCTCAGTTAAACCATTTGTAACAATTTACTTGATTAACACATCAACAAACCTCAAGTTTACATAGTACATGAACAGTTTCATGTCCTTAAAACCTAATATGTTAATAAACAAAGAAATAAATACCTTCAAAGTACAACAACATGTTAAGGGAAATAACCTTTTGTATAATTGTGAAAAGGCAAACACTTTTAAACCACTTAACAGTCAACACTAAGAAAAGTCCACTTTAAAAAGTAAATTTATTAAATTTTGATTCTGATCAATAAAAGGCTTACATGCAGCAGAATAAACCTAGTCAAGCCATCTATACGCTGAAGTTTGACACTAGACAGAATTGAGGTATTTAGGCACACACATCACCAGCAAGCAGTACTCTAACTCTGAAATCACCAGAAACTATGGAAAAAAACACACCTGTGAAATTAGTATCTAACAGTTTAAGAACAATGTTTTTAACGACCCTAAAACTGCCTTGTGAAAAAACAACAACAACAACCCCATATTTTTAAAAAGTGATTTAGCTCCAAATCTGAAAGCAGTGTAAACAATAGGTTCCAGGGGTATCAAGATGTCCTGCATCACTCTTACAATCTCTGACCTGAATCTAAAATTTTAATTATTATTAAATTACCTATCACACAGACCCCATTTGTAATTTCAAACCAGAAATGCACAGTCGTAGTTCAATATGTCTTCTTTTCATGAGCATGGAAACTCAGAAACTTTGTAAACAACAACATTCTGCAATACAAAACAGAAGTTAATCTTTACTTACCTGGAAAACGCAGCATCACACTGTTGGCACTTGTACTTCTTTATGCCTGTGTGGAGTTTCATGTGGCGATCTCGACTGCGCTTATGGCGGAACAGACGATGGCAGTGGCTGCACTTAAACGGCATCTGGTCTCCATGAACCTAGCAGCAACAATTTCAATTTTAGATCATGTAAATTTCTGTGCTTTCTGTTAACAGGGCTTGATAAGCATATTCTGCTAAATTCCATTTCTCCTTGTTTTTGTAGGAATATTGATTCCAGCTGGCTAATTTGGTTGACAGTTTGCACTAATTAATTCCAATATTGAATTAATTTCACATTCATTGAGATAAAACAACCAGATAAATCAATCTTGTAAAAATGTAAAAAGTATTTGAAAATAATAACTAACACACTACGTAAGGCATATTCTTGAAAATTAAATTACACTGAATTCTTACATAAAATTTCACAAACACTGACATTGTAGTTGACAACCTTACAGCAACATATTCAGTAGACAAATACATTTCACATGAGGTAAGGCTGCGAAATGGGTCTCTGTTGATACAAACATGAAGAAAAAAACTGACACAAGCTTTAAGGATTTGAATTCTTATTGCTCGTCCTTCAGGATTTCTTACTCCCAGTAAACATCAGTTTGCATAAACTGTACAATACAGTTTTCCAGCTATCAGTAACATCTGAGAGTGCCAGGAAGAGATCTCCCAGTAGGATGGCCAACCTCAGCTTTGAGTGAACTGGAGTTGCATAAACACACAACTCAGATGCAGAGTTCAAAATTAAGGGGATGCTTGGGGTCTTTCTAGTTTGCTCCCGTAGCATCTGAATCTGTAGCCCTTCAATCTTCAACTATATCATTGAGGCAACACCTTGACTTATGTACCACTGAATCTGCAGCCCTTTGATCTTCAACCATATAACTGAGGCAACACCTTGACTATTGTACCACTGAATCTGCAGCCCTTGGATCTTCTACCATATCATTGGGGCAACACCTTGACTTACGTACCACTGAATCTACAGCCCTTCGATCTTCAACCATATCATTGAGGCAACACCTTGACTTATGTACCACTGAATCTACAGCCCTTCGATCTTCAACCATATCATTGAGGCAACACACCTGTACCACTGAATCTACAGCCCTTCTGATCTTCAGCCATATCATTGGGGCAACACCTTGACTTATCTGCAGCCCTTCGATCTTCAACCATATCATTGAGGAAACACCTTGACTTATGTACCACTGAATCTACAGCCCTTCGATCTTCTACCATATCATTGGGGCAACACCTTGACTTATGTACCACTGAATCTACAGCCCTTCGATCTTCAACCATATCATTTGAGGCAACACCTTGACTTATGTACCACTGAATCTACAGCCCTTCGATCTTCAACCATATCATTGAGGCAACACCTTGACTTATGTACCACTGAATCTACAGCCCTTCGATCTTCAACCATATCATTGAGGCAACACCTTGACTTATGTACCACTGAATCTGCAGCCCTTCGATCTTCAACCATATCATTGAGGCAACACCTTGACTTATGTACCACTGAATCTGCAGCCCTTCAATCTTCAACCATATCATTGAGGCAACACCTTGACTTACGTACTACAGGCATAAAGAAGTACAGTTTGGCATCAAAGATGTACACTCAATCAGTGACTAGAGATAGAAAATTGTGCAGCAAACAAACTCAAAGGGACCACTTGTTATAACCATAGTTTGTTGCTTGTTGTTTGTTGTGACTCAGACCAAACTTTGGTAGTCCTAGCATGTTTGGCCAAACAATTAAAAAACCCTTTCCTTTGTGTTTGATTAAGTTATTTTTGCTGTTCACCAGTGCAGTCAGCAATATTCCCACTACATGTTGGCCACCTGTAAATATTTGGGTATGTACCAAACAATCCGGTGATGACATTGTGAGCTATAATGGAAGCTACTTGGGGCAATGACATGAACCAAGTCACCTGGCCTGACCACCTGATCCATATGGTGCTACTTTCTATGACCAGCATAGGATGCTTAGGACCTATTAATTCTAAAATTCCAAAGGGTTAATTAAACTTTGTGAATTATATCTCATTACAAAACAAATTTAGAACAATTTAATAACAGCTAGAACAGCTTACAGTATAACAACAGGAAATTAAGTTCTGTAAGTCTTCATTGGAAATCACACATAGCCCATTAAAGTGAGGTTGGCACAAACACTGTCTTAACACTTGATTCACATTCAAGCCCGTGAAAATCCGGGTTAGAATAGTTCAGCAACCCATGCTTGTCGTAAGAGCCGATTAACGGGGTCAGTTCGTCAAGCCTGCTGACTTGGTTGACAAATATCAAAGTATCCCATTAGAGTAAATCGATGCTCATGCTGTCGATCACTGGATTGTCTGGTCCAGACTTGCTTGTTTACATACCGCTGCCATATAGCTGGAATATTGCTGAGTGTGGCGTTACACAACAAAGTGTATACAAAAACAAGTGACATACTAACTATGGACATGGCACTCACAGTAGGGACATAATTGATGCCAGACATCATTATCAAACTGTGAGTAATGTATGATCTTTATCTGTATGGTTATTTACAGAAGGCTGTCATTTAGCCGGAATATTGCTGACTGTGACATGCAACAAACATCATTTCAACAACTCAAAAGTCCATGTATCAATTTCACAGAAAGTGCAAGTTACACCAAACGAAGGGGCAGTGGGGTAGCCTCATGGGTAAAGTTCTGCCTCGTCATGCCAAAGGCCCAGGTTCTATCGTCCACATTAGTACAAAGTGTGAAGTGCATTTTGGGTGTCCCTTGCCTTGACAGAGCTGAAATATTGTTAAAAAACAGCCGTGCCATTTTAACTATTGATAAAGGTGGCCTGAATCTGTGCTGGCGGACTCACCACAACACCTTGACCTGGTCATCTCACCAAACGTCAGTTCTAGTGTCTGTATACTTGTACACATATGTGACTAAATCTACATAGGGCCAGACCAATTTTATTTCTTGTTTTAAGGGTCCGCCAGTCGTATTTTTTCAAGAATAACAAAAAACTAAAAATCAATTTGCCCTGCTCAAAAAATAAAATCCTAATGTTCTTATTGGCCAAAATAATAAACTTACAAGAAACTTTTTTTAGATTGTTTTTTGCCCCATATAAGACTTCACAAATTGCCAAAAGTAAAATACTTTTAGTATTTAAAAGGTGTATAACTTTGACTGGTGATTTTTGTTCCCTCCTGCCTTTAGGTTTTCTGAGGACAAAAACCTCTAAAACAAGAAATAGAATTGGTCTGGCCTAATGTCAAATTGTTTTTGACATGGGGATGTATTTGCAACCCTGCACACCCTTCACCCTAGTGACCTGTGTATGTATAATCATATCTAAATAGTATAAGCATTTTTTTGCTCAAACAAACTGCTCAGGCTTACAATGTTCAAGGAGCATCTTAAAAAACACTTGCAATATAAGTTTCTGAAACTTACAATTTCATGTATTTTGAGGTAAGCCATTCGAGGGAAGGCCTTGTCACAGAAATGGCAGCCATAGGGAAAAGCCTTGTTGATAGTGTTGGAGAACGGCAGGTGATCGGGAGTGAGGGAATCCGACACGGGTGAGCGGGAGTCACTTCCTGTTGGCGGGCTCTTGCTGCACTCCAGAGATGATGACGTGGATGATGGTGTATCTGATCGGGCAAGGTTAGAAGAATCGTTCAGGGTCCACGGGATTGCAATACACGTCCCATCTGAAATAAGAAAGCGAAGAACTGAGGGGCAGTTCATTTTGAGTTCACATATCTTCATTGTTAGCAGATGACTTCTTTATGAATCACAATAAAAGGTTTCTGAAATTTTTAAGGGTTGATACAGTGAATGAAATAAGCCAAAAACCCTGCCAGACATCAGGGCTGGTAACTTCAAAATGTTACCAGCCCAAAATGGATTTAACCAGACCAGACAATCCAAAGAAAATTACTCAGATGTATGGAACATGTTTTCTAAACATTTTTACCAGACCATCGGGCTGGCTAGCTGTAAATGTAGATCGTCAGTCAGAAATTGGTCGGACGGGCCTTATTTCATACACTGATTGATATCAACATTCTGGTTTCATGCATGGTGAGCAATATTCCACTTATTTCATGGCTGCTTGGAACATAATCTTATCCGTATTCTGTACCAGTGGTTGATACCATGAGCAACAATCAACTTAAGATGACATTTATAACTTCTTCTGGAGTTGTACTGCCTAATCAATTAGTTATGTCCAGAACAAATACTCAGACAACATGCTAAGAATCCCCATAAAATGCATAAATAAACACCATGTACTAGCTGATTTTTACAGCTATTGTGCATTAAAACAACAGTTAATGGGTAAGTGAGTTTGGTTTTACGCTGCTTTAAGTAATATTCCAGCAATATCAATATTTACCAGAAATGGGCTTCACACATTGTACCAATGTGGAGAATTGAACCCATTTTTCGGCGTGACGAGCGAACGCTTTAACCACAAGGCTACCCCACCGCCCCAAACAATACTTAAACCAACAGAGCTAATAACCCCCTCCATTCCACGTCTGAACTACAGTTCTTTCACTTTCAGAAACCATCTTTCTTTATAAAAATCAAACTGAGCATACAAGAGTAGAAAAATATAGATGGAATACTTCCCAAAAAACACAAATGAAACCGCATGCAACAAATGGCTTAAATCAAGTATTAAAGGTATCAATATCTTCCCATTCCAGATCCGTTTCTGGCAGCATTTACATGCAGAGAGCTGGTTCATAAGTGAACTGCATAAATCTTTCACAAAGATGGCACAAAAAATTTAGCCTAATCTAATTCCACCTTGCAAAAAAATTAACCAATGCAGCAAACTATTTCCAAATCGGAAAAACGTTTCCTTCTTCTAAAATCTGCTTTCATACATGCTTCAATTATTTGCATAAAAGCGTCAAACATAATTTGTTATCGTTCTTGCTCATTTGAGGGTAGAAGGACAAGGAGACAGTAAAGGCCCTAATCAAAGAAGCAAGGCTGCACCAAGGGTCAAGTCCACTGAGTGGTTCCTCTCAAACCCAGCACAACATATCAAATGAAATCAGTATATTGCCAATCCCCAAGATATTTTTCACTGTTTCCCATTAATATTTATTTGGCTTTATTTATCAAAGATGTCCTCCGGTAATAAAAGCTGATTCCCTGGATGGCTTGGCCATCTCTTACAAAATATGCTGGTATCCGTTGAGAGTTAAGTTTTCTGATTGACTAAGGTCTGCTTGTAGAGGAGTTAATTAGAGCCATGCCCACAGGGGGCGCTGGTAAAGAACAGCACGCCATATTATGAAACTCTATCATCCCAAGGGAGATTATAAACCAGAGAGCTACATTTTCACGAGTTAATTCTAACGACAGTTTGCGTCCTCTCCCTAAAGTCTCTCATCTCTCGATGTCTTGCATATTATGACAAATGAAAACTATCTTAGGTTTCTTCTTGTTAAAAAATACAATGAACCCCCTGAGGGCTCATTATTCAGGCAAGACCTCCGAATAGTTTTGTATATCCATTACAGGGCTGTCAATATATTCAGGTGTTCTCCCTGGGAACCAAGCAACACAGTTACTGCGGGCAAGCTGCATCTTGCAGAGGCTGAGTGAAATGCGGGGGTTCTACACAAAGTACGCAAACTTGGAAAACTTTCTTCATGATGATTGGAATATTCTGACAAACCACATTGGGTTTGGAGTTGATGGTGGTACATAATTAACTTTTCGTTTGGTTGGGATTATTCGTTTACACGGATATCCTCAATAAGAGGAAATTTATGCTTTTTTTATATTGTAATTCATTGTGTCCATTTCTTACTTATAACTATGAATGATGGAAATGTGTATTATTTATATTAAATCAATTTACATTCAATTGTTTTCATACCGAAAAAGGTTTAATGTGTGTTTTTTGTCTTGCAAGATCTGTGTCTTCGTACCTGAAACCGACAGCCATTGGAATGTCAATTCAGATATGGAGAACTAGGCGGACATTGTAATTCCCACATGCATTTAAAGTTCCATGCAGCTGAGATTCAACGTGTGTACATGTCAGCAGAAAAGCCATGCAGGATGCATACAGCGAAGGCGACCGGTTCAGAACCTCCATGTTGAGAGTTATGTGAGGTTGTGTGCAGACATTTTCTGTGATAATTGAACCTTCGGAGACTGGAGAGCTCCCTGGGGCCACCATTATAAGCAGGATGCATCGTAGCCCACGCCCCTGGATACCAAACTGGGGACCTGATGTAATTATTGCCACAGCCACATAGCACTTACCACCTGCCAAGACCCAAATGAGTGATCTCCCTTGGGTGTCTGCTGCTGACTATGTAATCATTCTCTACCAGGTGGAGCCCCCATCGGGATCAGCCAATGGCAAGCTAGACCTCAGTAGGGCCCCTTACCATCGAGGCAACTCCCCAGTCTAATCTATCACCATAATACAGTCCATTTCATGGCTCTTTTCAGAGGCATTTTATCTGCCCATGGAGACCAGGAGGTTTCAAACTGGAGAAAAGTAAACCCCAGCTGCTAAAATTATTTCCGGATCTGCACGAGCTTTATTTCAGGGAGGAGGGAGCCTCCAGTAAACTGAGCGAGACAGTGCCCCCTTGGGGATGGCCATGACACTCGTCAATAAACTTGTAGTTTTTACCCCAAAATGGGATCAAACGAAACCCAATGGCATAACATAAAGTACCTTGTCTCTTCATGCTGAAACTGAACGAACGGATTTCTTCAGGCAGATTATTGAACATACCGGCAACATAACATCTGCTTGAGAATTACCAACACGTAATATGGAAATTGTAGAATTTGTATTTTTTATTCATTCCTACAACAAGAGGTAGGATTTGTATCATACGTTTGTTGACAAGTTTGATATTTTTCATTCCCCAAAGCCTGCTGCTGACCTCTGTACATGATGTTTCTCTCATTGACAACTGATGCAGTTTCATGTGTCATGATTACAAGCAAAAGAACACAGATTTAAGTGACTGAAGTACAAAAAGTGTTCCTTGAACACAGAAAACACATGTTGGGCCCTTGTCTGCAGCCATATAACGCTCTGCACTTGTGCGTTCATCACATGTTGGTATGTCAATCTCTTTCCCTGGCACCAGAGGTGTTGCTCTGTTGCCTACAGGAAGACTCCCATCCTCAAGTCTCTATGGACTTTATACAACAATGAGGCAAGGCACTTTGCATCAATATTTCTCCTTGGCAAAGATCTTCAAGCCATATTTGTCTTCTGCAGAAGACTTGTGTCTTACTTTCTTTGCAATGTATAATTTCGAGATAAAAAATCATGACTTATTCAGTAAGTACATATGATGCAATGTTGAAGGCGTCATGTCCAATTAGAAGGAGTTATCTCCCTTTACAATATGGAACCAGTGGATGATTCTCTTGACTGTAAAGTAAACATGTATGGTGAAAAATGCTGAAACAAGTTTAGTAATGTCTCCTGAGATGTGTCCCTACTTACATTGAGGCTTGCAGCCACTGAACACTACACAAAGATACTGCTTAAGAAAACAATTGATTGGAATCTGCAGAATATCATACTTCTTCTGACACCATTGTTACCATCAACGTGGAAGACAAGGCACACACATCATGTTTTGGGTGTCATGGTTACCATCAAATTCCTGGTGCCATTGTAACCGTTCATCTAGTTGCTGATGCTACTGTTACCATCCATAAAGATGGTGACGCTATTGTTACCATCCGATATCTTGCTGGTGACATTGTTATCCTCAAGGTGTTAACACACCCACCATGCAGCTATTGCCATTGTTACCATCAATCAAGTTGCTGGTGCCATTGTTACCTTCCATCATCTTGCTGGTGCCATTGTTACCATCCATCATCTTGCTGGTGCCATTGTTACTATCAATCAAGTCGCTGGTGTCATTGTTACCATCCATCATCTTGCTGGTGCCATTGTTACCAACATCATCTTGCTGGTGCCATTGGTATCATCCATCATCTTGCTGGTGACATTGTTATCCTCAAGGTGTTAACACACCCACCATGCACCTATTGCCATTGTTACCAACATCATCTTGCTGGTGCTATTGTTACCATCCATCAAGTTGCTGGTGCCATTGTTACCATCCATCATCTTGCTGGTGCCATTGTCACCATCCATCATCTTGCTGGTGCCATTGGTATCATCCATCATCTTGCTGGTGCTATTATTACCATCCATCATCTTGCTGGTACCATTGTTACCTTTCATCATTTTGCTGGTGCCATTGTTACCATCCATCATCTTGCTGGTGCCATTGGTATCATCCATCATCTTGCTAGTACCATTGTTACCTTTCATCATTTTGCTGGTGCCATTGTTACCATCCATCATCTTGTTGGTGCCATTGGTATCATCCATCATCTTGCTGGTGCTATTTTTACCATCCATCATCTTGCTGGTGCCATTGTTACCATCCATCATCTTGCTGGTGCCATTGGTATCATCCATCATCTTGCTGGTGCTATTTTTACCATCCATCATCTTGCTGGTGCCATTATTACCTTCAATTATCTTGCTGGTGCCAATGTCACCATCTACCATCTTGCTGGTGCCATTATTACCTTTCATCATCTTGCTGGTACCATTATTATCTTTCATCATCTTGCTGGTGCCATTGTTACCACCAAGGTGACACATACATCGACCACATTG